CAGGGACAAGGGTCACTGTTTAGCATACTGATACTCAACTTTTCCAACACAACTTATTGAAAATTTTCTTCTTTTCCCACTGATAACTATCAGAGATCAACTGATAAGGGCTGGACATATAGTTCAGTGGTAGAAGTACCTGCCTTGTATGTTTGGGTTGAATCACCAATACCACATACACAAAAAAGTACACTGACTCCATGGTTTGTGGTTGATTTGTGAATTGATCTAAATCTAGTCTTACACTAAGACCATAATCCTGAAGTAGGTTAGGATAAAGCTTCTAACTTTCAAGTTGGTTTGAGTAGACTAGGTTCCTTTTCACTTCTATGTAACTTTTATAATCAATTTAATGATGTCTACCAAAGTCTTCTTGGATTCTGAGCAGGCAGCCACTGAATACAGCTAATCAGTTTGAGGGAAACTGATACCTTAATGATGTCACATCTTCTCATTCCTGAAAATAGTACCCATCTCCATTTATATTTTTCTTACCAAAATTCTGTGGTTTTCAGTGTACAGTGTTGCACATTTTTTACCAAGTTTCTTCCTTAGTGTTTCATAAAAACTGAAGGCTACAGTAAACAGTACGTTCTTCCAAGTTCAATTTCTAATATTCAGAAAAATTGAACTAGTTCACTTATTCTAACAGGTTGCTGGCTTTTGATTTTTTAACATGGAAGTTCATGTTATCTGTGAATAATAGTTTACTTTTTCTTTATTGCACCAGGTAAGACTTCCAATGTCTGTAGAAGTACAGGAAGGGAGGTAAATCTAGTCCTTGTAACTCCATTGTAAAAAAACCCAAGCCTTTCGTGATGTTACAGAATTTGCACTGTTTAGACCTTTAAAGTAGCTGGAATATAGCATCTGTATGAGAAACAGGCATCTACAGCTGTCTGTTTCTAACACTGTCCCAGCATTATTTACTCAATTCTTTGCCTGCTGTCCTACTGCCGTCTTCATCATCTGCCAAGCTCCCATATGTACATACTTTAACTTCTAAACCACCTGGTCCTGTTTACCTCCTAACTAGACCAACACCAATTCCAGGATCTTGCTGAAAGATCTCATCATCTCATGATTTTAAGTAATTTTATGTACTAGTAATGCTCAAATTTCTTTGTCCACTCCAAATTTTACACTAATCTTAAACTCCTAATTTCAACTGCCTCACTTGATTTGTATAAGAAATTTCAGATTTTAAATGTCTTTAAGAACCAAATTCCTAATACTTAGCAATTGCTTACCTGCCACCTTCCCTTCTTCAGTAGGTGGAAAATCTGCTCTTCCTTGAGCTCAGGTCAAATACTCCTGCCTGACGACCTCATACCCAGAAAATCCTGACCACTCTACCCTAAAAATATATGAAAAAACCAGCCACCCACTTAGCTGCCCTCTTTACTGCCACCATCCTGACCCAAGTCGGTACCATCTCTCACCCTGGAATTATTCCAATAGTCTCTCCCCTGCTACCTGTCCTCCTACAGTTGCTTCTGCTCAGGAGTAGGCAGATCATATCCTGTACCGCATGTCAGATCGTAACACTGCTGACTTGTAAATCTTCCCACCATCTCCCACTTCCTAGATTTCAGCTCTGAAAAACAGACTTGCCGGCTTTGTTTTCTTTAATGCTCTAGATCCTCGCTTAGTCTTTGGAATATCAGGCAGTAAATATTGGTTGAGTTAATGAATGTCTTCATTACCATAGGTTTATAATTAGTGCTTTTATCCAGCAGAATGAGACCCAAAGTTCTTTTTCCCTTTAAAATTGTGAGCTACTGACTTAACTATATAAATTTAGAATCAGCTAGTCAAGTTCTACAGAACCCTGAGAACTTAGGTCTAGGACTGCTTTCAATTTATAAAATAATCTGAAGAGAATGGTTACCCTTTTGGTGTTGAGTTCCTCTACACCAAAAACATAGTAGGGATCTGTCTCTCTGCTTCTTTCATGTCCTTCATTAAAAAGCAAGCCTCTTTCATCAAACATATTTTTTTTTTTGCTTTTACCATAAACAGTAATGTATTTAAGCAATTACATTTTCTATCACAAATTGTCAAAGTCTCTTCCTTTTTTCTTAAAACATGCTTAAATTTCCCTTTGCGTAAACAAAATGTCCACTTGAAGGTGGGAGGTGGCTGAGTGGCAAAGCCACTGGGTTTGATCCCCAGCACCACAAACAATAAAGCTCCACTCGCCACCTCCTCTGCGCGTCACTCACTGGAGTGAAGACGTACTATCTTGGTGGCTGCTTCACTTGCTACTCAATCCTTAACCCCTTTCCCAGTTCTTATCCAAATAGCCAGTGGAAACTGCTCTTTCTAAAGCAACCACTGAGCATCAACCACCTAATTCCACAGCCCTCTCTCAGTATTTATCTCCTTCGGCCTCAGTTGTACAAGACGCGAGCAACATCCTGGTCTTTTACTCTGCATTCTCTCTTTGTAGGTTCCATGAAACTAATGTTTCCCTTTCTTCTCCGGAGTGCGTTTTCTTCTCTGTCTTCCAATTTCTCTTCTAGTTTTTATTCTCTGAACAACCTGTATCGACCCCAGGGATCAGGGAAAGTCTCTCTCAGGAAGTAGCGTTTGAGCCTGCTCTCGCAGTGAGACTAGGGTTTACAAGATGGTCCAGCATTTCTGACAGAGGACAGCATATACAAGGTGAGGATGCGATGATTAATTAGACAGCCTTGAAGAGTTAAGGGCACCTAAGCTATGGTGTCCAATACAGTGGGCAGTAATCTCATGTACGTAGTTACTCAGTACTAGAAATGTGGCTGGTCCAAAATGAGATACGCTGTAAGTATAAATTATACACAAATCTCAAAGACTTAGCAGGAAAAAAGGTACAAAAAAACCTCATTGATTTTTTTATTGATTACATGTTGAAATGGTATTTTGGACATATTGGTTTTTTTTTTTTTTAATCAGCACCAGGGATCAAACTCATGACTGCGTGCTTGCAAGGCAGGCACTTATGCCACTGAGCTAAATCCCCAGCCACAGATCTATTGCTTTAAGTAAGATATACTAACATTAATTTTACCTGGTTTTCACTTTTTTAAAATGTGGCTACTAGAAAACTTAAAATGCTATGTGACTCCCATTAGATTTCTACTGGACAGAGGATAAGGGCCCAGTAAGAGTACAAGGGCCAGTCGAGGCAAGGGAGGAGAAGCATGAGATTTTCTTTCACAGTATTTTCTTTTTACTCTTACTAATGTCAATAAAGTTCAGGTCCTGCTTACTTCTCACCTAGGGTTATGTCAATGGTCCTACTGGTCCCCCTCTACATTCTCGGGCTTATCACAATCTGCTAGGCACTGTAATCATATTTATCTTCGAAAAGCACCTCACCCCTCCCACTGCTCAGTCATCTCTCTCAGGGTTCTTGCGACCTTCTAAATTTAAGAGGTTGATACTGTGGCACACTTTGAGGCTTTCCACTCTACAAGCCTAACCGGTATCTTAGGACTACCTAATACTTCTGAGCCCTTGATTGTGCCAAAATGGAGTTGTCACCTAACTTCCACTTATATTTTTCACCCTAATGCTCATCTTATGATTTTCTCCTTGCCTGGAATGCCATTTCCCAAATTCCTGTTTATCAGACTCTTATTAGAAAATAAAAGTAATGTGTTAATATTTTAAAAAGCAGCTACATGTGGAAGGGTCATTTTGTTAGACATACAAGTACAGTAGAAACATTTAGGATTTTTTTTTACTCCTACTAGGATTTCAGAGTCTATGTCAAACATTCACTCCTTCATGAAACATCATGTAACTACTGAAAATCTTCAGCTGACATGCAACCCCTCAACTGTGTTTTGTGCTACCTGTCCCTCTAGGTGATGGCTACACAGACAATAAGGTAGTAGCCCTCATCTTAGGAGTTCAGCCCCAGGAGAAAAAGCTCTCTAAGTCAATAGTTTGGAGAGCAATTCAGGCTCTGATGGGAGATGAACACAAAGCCCTGATGGACTTTGTGTCCATCACTGACGAGTCCTCACCATGCTGGCAGCAGGGAGTCACCGAGAAGGCAATGCAAGAGTTCTAGATGGGCTGCTGTCCTTCTGAGTGGACCAGAGACCCTGCAGCATTTCTCTTATGGTTATCCAGTTCTGTTTTTGATACTGTGTGCACATACAGTCAATTCTCATTATTTACACATTGCTTATCAATATACCTATTGGAAAAAGTTAATCACCAAAATCATGGCTTGTGGCAATTTCTCAGTCATTCACAGACACTCCCAGAGTGGTGAAAACTGTGAGCTGCACAACACTCACTTTCTCAGCTTGTTCTACAAACCGAGGAAGAAATAAGGTGACACTTGGTATTCTTGAGCCCTCAGAAGAGACAATGTCTTTGTTGCAATGTCCATAGTGTCACATTTTTTGTGTTGTTGTTGATTTCATTGCTTCAAACAGCCCCAAAACACAGTGGTAAAGCACTGCAAAAGAATGTGATGCGCTTTCCAGAGAACACAGTTACAGAAGCTTCATCCCACCTGAGTTACGAAAGTGCTGCTCACGACTTGAGGGTTAATGAGTACTTCATACCCAACGAGGTGCTTCTAAAGTGAAACACCTATAATGCAAGTGAAGTGGTAATCCACAGATGAAAATGTTGTGACTAGAGGCTCCCAGAACCTAACCCTGAATTTCCCCTGAGAGCAAGGTGTCCGGATTCATTAATTCACCATTGCTGACAACTTTGTAGAGCATGAGTACTGCAAATAATGAGAAGCAACTCTACTTATCTTTCTCTTGAAAGACCTGTCTCAGTTGTCACTGTGTGGAAGAGGAGGTAGCCACTATTAAATAGTTAAGTCTTAACTGAGAAGAAAATTAATAGGTTTATTTTGTGAATGCCTTAACCTCATAATCAGAGACCATATAGTTTAACAAAGGCTGAATATTAAAAGTAATGGTTTATAGTACTGATTTTATGGCTTCAGAATGGCCAACGATGGCCATCATCAGCATGCTTACCATTTTTGTTCTTCAGATTAGGGTCTGCTCCACTTTTTAGAAGCTTTAAGGCACATTGCTTATGGGCCCGGTAAGCTGCACAGTGCAAGGGTGTATTTCCTAACTGATCCACACAGTTAACATCAGGAGGATTGGGCCTGTTGAGCTAATAATTAAAAGAAATGCAATACAGAATTACATATCAAGGATAGACCTCCTCCCATGATACACAGGAAGGTATTTCAAGCAGAGCTGGGAGAACAGCTGGGCTCCTTGGCATTTGCACTATCCATGGCATCTTGTTTACTAAACCAGCTAACCCTGCCATGCCTGAACTCGTCCTCAGGTGCCACAAGACCTCAGGCTGTGCCCAGCATTCACGATGCCCTGATGACAGACACCACACGCTGTGCCAGCACTGCCCACCCACCTGAGATCTGCTCACTCCTAGCAGGCTTGCATTTCACACCCATGACAGTCAGACTACAAATTGGGCACCAGAAACAGCCCAGAGAAGAGTTAAAACCATAGATGTTAAATATGTAAATGTCAAAGTTATACTGAATTTGCTGCTCCCACCTTACTGCTTTAGAAACTTCTTTATATAGTCTCCATCTCGCGAAATTTAAAAAATGTTTCAGAGGCACTATACTTAGAAACCAAAGAAGCCTTTTCAAATAAGCTGAAGTAAGTTGAGAGCAAATGGCAATGCCTCAGTCTTGAATTCAGAATATATTTAGTTTCATGTTTAATGAGACATTGTAGGAAATGGAAACTGGAAAGTAGGTCTCTTGGGAAGGAAAAAAATGGGCAAAGCTTTTAGTCTGTCTGTTCTATCATGACATAAATACTCCAAAACACTGTCCCCTCTTTGTTCCTTTCTAGACAGACAGTTTTCCTTTCAGAAATTATCGTTCATCAAAATTAGAAAAACGTATTTCTTTACAGGGTCTTATTTACTGGGTTTCAACTTTAATTTGGCTTTATCATAAAAAAAAAACTTTTAAAGTTGTCCTTCCATTAACTATTTGCTATAAAAAACTGGATTCTTATCCATCATCTTTCAGTAAGGGATGAGGACGTAAATCAGATTCGGAGAGGGGATCACTATAATGTGTCCTGTTTAAACTATTACCATCTCAATGTTGTTAGATTCTTAAGGACGTTTGTCCTTTTATTATGATCTCTGCAAGTTTTTTTGATTGTATGATCCACTATTATAAATATAACATTAAGTGAAAATTTCCCCAAATTTTAAGAAATGATGCTTTTGTTTTACCAGAGCTGTAAGATCTGCTATTTTGCCTTCTCTTGCTGCTGCTAAGAGTAATTCTTCAAGCTTTCTCTGTTGAGTCCTTTCTACAGCTGCAAAAAGAAAAAAAAAGTATTACTCTACTGCTAGTCAGGATCTTACTAGAAAGTTCATTATAAAGATGTGTAAAAAATAAAGTGACCCAGTGAGAACAATGAGAATGCTATGAACTGTAATTCAAACACAAGCTTTGTTATTCACACTGTCTTCCACTGCCCATGAGTATGGTTTCCTTTGGATTGGGATGAAATTAAGTTTTCAATTCAGAGGGCTTTAGTGTTTTATTCACAATAACACTCACCACAGATAATTGTGCATTACTTTTCCATACTGCAATACCATTACATAATGTCTCGGACAAGTAGGCAATGGGATTCGTATCTTCCAGGACGGTACAATGAGAAAAGTAACACTTAGGGATTAACACTGGACTGCCTGGCAAGCGTGAGGTCAGGGATGCGATCCCCGGTACAAAACAAAACAAAAAAATCACCATTAGAGCCAGCTGTAGTGGTGTATGCCTACAAGCCCAGCACTCTAGGAGGCTGAGACAGGATCACAAAGGAACAGAGTCCAGATGACTTAGTAAGACCCTGTCTCAAAATACAAATGAACAGATAGAGATTTGGGGATGCAACTCAGTGCAAAGGCCCCCAGTTCATTCCCCAACACTGAAAAAAGCAGAGCAGTGGCAGACACATACACAATGTTAGATATCAATTTACTTAAATACTTCCATGTGGAAATATAAAATTCACTTTATTTAACAAATACTATAGCACTTCTATGCCAAGTGCTAGTCAAAACACCGAAAAATAATGAGTCACCATCCCCTCATAACTACCCTGAGGCAGACATCATTATTCTTATTCTACAGACAGATAAACTGAGGCAGCAAGAGGTGAAGGGACTTAACCAAGGTCACACACTGGAGGAGCTGGGACTGCAACCTGGGCAGGCTGACTCCAAAGTTCATGCTCCTATCTGTGATGCTGCTTCTCAAATCATTTTCTGCAGGGAAGGGGCAGCTGGCAATTTGATTTAAGAGGCCTCATTTCTGGTAAATCTGAATTCTGTTCTGGCTGACAGAAAAGAAATAATTTCATATAAAGGCTGAGGAACCCCATTTATTCCAGGGAAAGGTCATGGAGGGAGGAAAACTCTCCTGACAATCTTCCTGCCCAAGTCAAGTTATAGACAGAGAGGAAGCAAGGGAGCCTGGGGGCTGGGGAACACGCGAACATTTATTGAGTTAGTAATTAAACTGGGTGTGGTGGCCCATGTTTGTAATCTCAGCATTCAGAAGGCTGAGGCAGAAGGATCACCATGAGTTTGAGGCCAGTCTGGACTACATGGTGAATTCAAAGCTAGCCAGAACTACGTAGCGAGACCCTATCTCAAAAAAAAAATTCTGTATACTAACTCTTGGTCAAGTCAGAGTGACAACATCACAGGTTGACGATAGGGGACCCACACACTGGACACAGGAACAGCCAGGACTAGTTGAGTTCGTCCTGAGAAATGACTTGCACTGTTAGGTGCCCTCATCTTCCAGTCTCACGTTTTCGGTTCCACATCCAAGCTCTCCACAGTCACACGAGTGCCCAGCGCTTCCCTTGGTTGCTGGCAGTCACTGTGTTCTTTAGTCTTTCCTTTCGCTGACTCTATAGCACTGACCTGTGAGCTCTTCGAAGCGTCCTCCCCCCTCCTGTATGTGCCTCTACTACTGCAGGTGTTAACCTGAGCCGTAATTTTTTTCCCTCAGCCCATGGGTTTCACATCTGTGGATTTAACCAGCACAGACTGAAAATATTTCTTCAGATCTTTGTGCACACATATATACATTATTTTATTATTTCCTAAACAACACAGTATAGCAACTATTTACACAATATTCCCACTGTATGAGGTATAGTAAGTGATCTAGAAAAAAGTATACAAGAGGATATTCTTCCATTATTTACAAAAATATTTTATATAAGGACCTTGAGCATCTGCAGATTTTGGTATAAAATGGTGTCCGGGAACTAATTCTCTGCAGACAAGGAACAGCTAAACTTATGTGATTATGTAATAAAACATCCTTGTTTTTAACAGAAACAAAGTATTTAGGGGGAAAGTATCACTGTGTCTACAAAGTTCTCTCAAATGCTTCACCAAGAAAAAAAAGTAAACACACATCACCCATAAAAGAAAAAACTAGATGTGACAAAATGTTAGTAATCGATGAATCTAAGTGAAGGACTCACATTGTGGTTTTTTTTTTCTTGTTGGTCATACCAGGTACTGAACCCAGAGAATACTGAGCTACATCTCCGGGCTATTTTAAGACAGGGTTGGGCCAAGTTGTCTGGGCTGACCCAGAACTTAAGACTCTTCCTGCCTCAACTTCCCATGGAACTGGAATTACAGGCATGTATCATCATGCAAGGCATGTATTACCCTTGAAATATAGCCAGAGATTGGAAATTTTTCAAAATAAAAGAGAAAGAAAATATTCTTCTTTAGTCCCTACCAAGTAGCAGTCTACTCTCTCCCCAAATGTCACTAGTCATGAAAACTCACTGCATCCTTCAAGGCAAGCTATGACACTTATAACAATATGCTGGACCCAAAGACAAACTGCCTCGAGCTCTAAAAACTGTGCCACCAACTTGCAGTTTTTCTGACACAAAAAAAGGTCATCCCTCTCTCAAACAGCAGTTCTTCAGATATGACTTCACTGTGGCTCCCTACGTGTCTCTCTCTCGGGAAAGCATTTTTACCTCTTCATGCATTATTCTATGATCTGGTTTCTAATCTACCTGTGGTCTTAATGGGTTGGGCAATGTACTTCCTCTAGTTCCCTGACAACCACTTACTGCTCCACTCCACAAATGTTACTACATCAGCTATAGGGATCTCATTAGAACAGAATCATTATTTCTTGTCATTATAGATGCTATAGTATAGCAACTGTAAATGGTCAAATGATTTCTACTTCTATTTCCCAGGCTTCAACCGCATGACCTGACAAAACATATTAGCCATAAAGTCAACTAAGCCCTTGCCCTTGAACAGTCTGAGTTTTGGAAAAGCCTTAGAGCATTCTTTGCAATTCTCCTTGTTAAATGTCAGCTTGTCACACTAATCTAATATTCCAGTTTGACAGGAAAACCTCAGTTCTGGGTTCTCGTCTTGATACATTAAAATGATAGGGCAGATCAAAGACAGTGGCCTCATCCTCTCAATTAGATGACATGTATGGAGGGGCAAGGACCACATGTAATATATTCTGCACGTCCCAAAAATCATGATACAGGGCCTAATAAAAGAGGTTATATGTGGATGTGCTTTTTTGTTGACAGTCATTTTAAATGCACAAGCAAGTGAAGATACTGATCTAAAGATGTCCTACAAGCAGAAGTCATTCTGTAACTACAGAACAAGTGAGAAGAGTTCAATTCTCAAGGATAACTGGAAAACAGTAGTAAAAAAAAAAAGCAGGACCTTGGTTTTCATAGTGATAAAAGTATCAATATTATACAACTAAGAAATCAAAACTCTTTAAATACAAAATTACACTGCCCATCTCTTAATTTCAAAGTAGACAAAAATGAGACATTAGAAACTGTAATTCTAATTCAGTATCTTTACTTATAAAGTAGAAATTAAGGCTCTCAATTTCTCTACATTAGAAATACTATCAAAAAATAATTACAGTGAAGCCTGGCCAGTCAGAGAAAAACAGTATTGCTTAAGGATTTCCTAATGTATGTACAGAAATGTTCTTTTTTTTTTTTTTGAAAGTGCAAACAGTTTTGTTCAATGATCCAAAAAAACTCAGTAATATGGTTATCTTATACACTTAAACATATATACAGTTATAACCTTTAGAGTACTTTCTTTTCTTTTGTACAATGACAATTACACATTTTGGGTTTTATTACTCCTACAGTACAGAAATGTTTTGTTTCAAAGTATGCTAGAGAAATTTGAGTTATTGCAGACTCATAAGTCTTAAATGCAATTTAATCTCTGATGTTCATAACAATGAAACTGATCCATTGAGAAATTGCTGTCATCCGTTATACTATGATGAAGTCCTCGGGAGGATGGAGCCAACCACAGCCAGCTCCCTGGTACCACAGGAAGCCCAACGGCTACACGCTTCTGTATTCCTTCAAAGTCAGGCTTTATCAGTTTACTGGTCATATTTCCTCATGTTTCTAATTTATTGGGGTTTTTTGTTTTTGTGAAGAATGTAAAAGCTACAGATGAGGAAACTTTCATATATTTACCCTAAACAGTGACCTTATCAGCACAGTATATTGATACTGCTGTCATCTATTTTGGTATTTCAGAAGTCATTTTACTCATATTCTAGCCTTCAGCTGTCAAGTAAATTTATGTTAACATCCATGATATTTACCTTCGAGCATGTTCCTGATTTCTTTATCATGAGTAGCTTCTTTTGCTGTCTGTCCATTCCCATTTACCACCGCTGTATCAGCATTATATTCTAAAAGAAGCATTACCAACTCCTAAATAAAAAAAAAAATTAAGGTCAGACTTAATTGTTAATTGAGAAACAGTTGCAATACAACTATAGTTTCTATAATAGAAAAAAGTACTAAGAATCTATAGCACATCAATTATTCTATAGTGAGTGTTCAACCAGTTCTGATAACAATAACTGCCCAATTGTTAATTCATAATAAATACCCAGTCTTAGTTTGTTGAAAAGAATGTTTTATCTGTTTCTTTTTTGTAAAAATCTTTTTGGTTTATGTCTTGTATTCTGAGTAACTACTTTGAAGATGATACACAGTGTAATAACTATTTTCTTATTATTTAGTTATGCAATGTTTTACTTTTTCATAAATTTCATAATTAAAAACAAATATATAATTGTTTTGAAGTAAATTTGATATTTTACTAAATTCATATGGTCAAAAGAAACATGCAAGTAAACAAATCTACTTTTTAAATTAGAGCATGTTACATATCTACTTAACTGCATTCCTCAGTGGCCTATATTGGGAAAAAATTTCCCCAACAGACTTATAGTTTTTCAAACTTTGATGCCCAAGAAATTATCGCAGTATGTTCTGAAGTGACAGAGATTGATGGGACACACCACTACCAAAGGAGCAGCAGAGAGTAGGCAACCTCTTCAGGTCAATACTGAACACCAGAGAGTAAGATTCATGTTTATTCCTAACTGGTTTTTTAGGACTTTCAAATTTTTAATGTACATAGGTCCAGGATCCCTGAGTCAGTTACACAATTGAAGGCAGCAGAAATGGAGGAGGGGTCGGCAGAGGATATTAGAAATGTGACTTTTTATTTTTCTGAGATGCACAGCCCTGAGTTAAAGGTTGCTGGCAACACCTGTTCTTTGGCTCCACGCTAACTCCCACACTGCAGGTGCTAACAACACTAAGGAGGAACATTCTCTTGTGTGGTTTTAGAGCTTCCTCTTTCCTCTGGGTCACAAAATTTCCCACATTATTTTTACAGAAGGAAAAAATGCTTAGATAACATCTAAAAAACACAAGGAAAAGGAAATAATACACTTATTCTTTTAGTCACTAATGACCACCACCATTTTGATGTTTCTTTCATATCATTTTCCTACATGTAAGTTTCAGATTTTCTTACACTTAATTTACTTGAGATAGTTGTTTTGTTATATGCCTTTTGCCTAGTACATATCTTGCAGTGTATTATATAGTTTACAAACACTGTTTATTGATATTATTCTGTATAATATACTACATCTTGAAAATAGGGAAACAGTTAAGAAATTTCCCAACATTTTAAGAAAGTGAACTCATAAAATATCTTAGTATTTCCTTTTCTAGGGGGTGCCAGGAATGACCAGGACCGCATGCTTGCCAGGCTCATGTTAAAGACATTTAACATTTTGGAAGAAGTATTTTTAAACTCTACATAAATAGATCATAAAAGTAGAACAATCCACAGAATGGCAAAAATTATTTACAAATCATATCTGATAAAAGACTTGTATCTAGAATATTTAAGGAACGTCTACTCCCTGCCAATAAAAAGACAATCCAACGTTAAAACGGGCAAAGGCAACAATGAACCTAAAAGGGAATCGAGTCTGAGGCCCCCTGACTCGGAAACTCCAGGGAAGGCACCAAGACACCTGTGCTTTCAGGGCCCTCCCGGGGAGGCTGTGAGCCCCTCGAAAGGTGAAATAAGGTTTCAATGAGTTCTTACAGAACCAGAATCAGAAAACTGGAAGGTACCTCAAGAGACTGGTGGTAATTTCTACCATACTAAACTCCCAAAAGGAACAGGTTGCTGCCTGTTCTTAATATGTCAATGGACAGAAGAGGCTTTATTTTCGAGAGTGCTACAGCATAAAAACTTTCATTTTAAAAAAGTAACTCTTCTTTAAACCTAAATATACTTCACTATGCCCAAATTAAAGACCACCCTGATTCATTAGCACTTGCGCAGATAGAAAATTTTACCCCTCAAATCTGGATTCTGGTGCTAGAATTCACATATTGCCTGCCAGAGGTCCTGGGTTCATCTTCAAAACCTTAACGAGGGGTGGAGAACTAGTCCTGAGGGGACCCTGGTGCCTGGAGTCTTACTGCACCTACTTTTCCCTCACAAGGAACTCTTTTCACCCCGTGTATGTTGTTTCCTTCTGAACCTCAAGCATCTCTCCACACTCATTAATTATTCACGCAACAGACTTATGCACTTAACCCGGTACAAGGGTCTCCAGGGAAGACATTCCTAAATATTAAATAGCGAGGGGATTTTAAAAGAGAAAGCTGTGACAAAATCAGGGCTGAGCTAGAATGCTGCCTGGGGCACCCCTGTGGAGGCTGGAACTGAGTGCAGAAAGTCAGGAAAATGACTATGCCGTGAAGCAACCAAGGTTAAATGCAGTGAGTCTATTCCCAAGTACAGGCAGCAGAAAAGGGGATTTACACAGTGAAAATAATTTGAAAAACCAACTCAAGTATTGCACAGGGAACAGCTATGGAGAAAGAGGGAGAGACTCATTTTGGATGCCTGAAATTTCAGACACCTGGAGGTATCACTGGCCAAGAGAACAGTTAGAACATCTGTCAAATCAGAAGTCAGTCATGAGCGTGACATATTTTCATATACATCCGTTTCCTGGGTGTCATGCAGTAAGGTTAGGACCAATGCACCACTGAGGTAAAAGAAACTTTAACATAGCCGTGAATCGTGGGAAAGATGGCAGCCTAGTGGAATGAAAATTGGTGCCAAGCAGATTTTAAAGGCAGTTTCTTCCCCATCTTTTTTCATACCACCTGATAAGCTTGATATATTATGGCAGCAGCAACAGCAGCAGCAGTGAAATGGGCCATATCAAAGAGAGCTCTCTTGAAACATTTATTTCCAATAGAAAAGTTTTGCTATATATTCTAGTCTGGACTTGATGGGATGGTCATCTTCCTGCCTCAGCCTCCAGAATGCAGAGATTGACACAAAGCATGGGACTTTCAGGAGAACAAGGCAGATAGAGAACAGCAGCTATGGAGGCCCTCTGAGATTCCCAGCTTAGAATTCAGGAATGGTGCGGTGTGAGGAGTCCTAAGCAAGGGGAGATATACCCTGCTGACCCAGGAACGAACTAAGCTGGAAATGCAGTCCTGGTGCTATAACCGGAACAGATGAAACCTCAGAGCCGAAGCTGGAACACACGCCACTGGAAGCCATAATTTGAATTTCCTGCTGCCGCTGCTGCATCTGAATGGGTACAGCAGGGAGAGAGATGCAAAACCTATGAGAGCGGGAATCGGTGAACCAAATTAAGAGTGGAACTGGCGGGAGCCCTGCATTGATCTGCGGTGAGAGGAACGGGGACCCTTTCATAGACTAGAAGGCTCCAGCAAAGGGCATTCTGGGACCTGGCAGACTAGCCAGAACAGGATGCTGCAGTGACTTCAGTCACATATTCCCCTCTCAAGCAGGATTGGTGGGGAGTGCGTGGCCTGGTGATGCCAGACTAAGACCCAATAGGCTAGCTCAAACCAGGTCCCAGCGCCTGGCGGTGCACCCTAGCAGTGAAGCCTTCAGTAGGTTGACCTGGAGGGGGCGGGCCCAGCAGAGGCTGCTCATGTCTGTGTCTCCCTAGTACACTGCAGTGGGTGGGAACACCTAGCCAGCGGAGTCAAACAAACTGTAACCGACAAAGAAAGAAACTATGCCTCCTATATACACCTGTATGGAAGGAACAAAAAGTATGGGAAGAGGGAGCAACAAGAAAGGGTCCTCAGTCCCCAATCCTGAGAACACTGATCCAAGAAAGGTAAATACTAAGGAGAATGAGGACAGAAAACATGCAATATCAGACATGGCACCAATAGACATGAAGCAGTATCTCCAAGAGCCTCAAATACCTCAAAAGTGAAGTATTTAATGAAGTAAAGCAAGATATAAGTAGAACAATTAGAGAAATGCTAGCACCACCCAAGAAAACAGATGGTGGAATGAACAAAAGAAAAAGAGGGGAGAATTGTTTGATGGAAAAAATAGAGAAAACATGGAATACACGAAGCAGGTTCAAAGAGATTAACAAGAAACTAAAAACTCTATTGAAAACTGGCATAACAGCTTGAAAGAAACTAAGGACAGACTATCTGAACTGGAGGGCAGATTTGTAATATGGGAGCATGAAATGAAAAACTTCTTAAAAATAACAAGTAAACAAACAGCAATAATACAAAGACTAGAAGATGATAAGAGGATCTATAACTTAAGAATTAAGAACATAAAAGAAGTAGGGACACAAACAAATGAACTACAAAAGCTATTCATAGAAATAATCCAGGAGAATTTCCCTAATTTAGCAAAAGGTAAAGATACTCAGATGTATGAGGCATATAGGACCCCAGCCACATACAACCCAAACAGGGGTACACCTAGGCATATAATAAAATTCCAGAAATCCAATATAAGAACAGAATATTAAAAGCCGTCAGAGACAAGCAAAAGATCACTTACAAGAGAACACCCATCAGAATTACAGTAGACTTCTCAGCACACACCATCAAATCATGAACAGCATGGGGGGAAATAAGTCAAGCTTTGAAAGATAATAACCGCCAGCCAAGATTGATATATCCTGCACAACTGTCCTTAGAAATTGATGGGAAAACAAGGTGCTTCCAGGATAAAGAGGAACTAGGAGAATTTGCAACCACCAATTCAACTCTACAGAAAATACTGCAGGATAGTCTAAAAAAGAAAAATACCAAGATTCCAGAAACAGTGGCAGAGAGGCCACAATGAATGGAGCAGAAAGCAAAATGAAGAAGACTAACTGACAACAAACAACAGAAAAAGAGCTCAACAGAAATGAGTCAGAGAAGGCTGGATGGTAGGAACTGCTACTTTGGAGAAAACAAGACATCATAATAGCTAGTGCTGATTTAATATCATCTTGTTTTGAAGTCCCATCAAGCTTTTGTTCTTCTGCCTCCTACGGTCTTAACAGGTTGTATCTTATTGGATTTTATTATAT